TCTTTCTTTCTTTCTTTCTTTCTTTCTTTCTTTCTTTCTTTCTTTCTCTCTCTCTCTCTCTCTCTCTCTCTCTTGGGTTGGAGGCCATCACTAGTGGGCTCCCTCTCTCTCTCAGCCTCCCGCGGGCTCCGGTTCCTCGAGCCGCCTGAAAGCCAGGCGTCGACGCATGCGTTGTTATGGGTTTTGTCACGGGTGGAACATTTCAGGTGGAACTTCCTGGATGCGGAAGAAATGAACGAAAGAATCCGTGGACACCTCGGAATGCTTCGGGTGTTTTGGCCTGAAAAGGGGATCCGCCGCCCCAAGCGCTGCGAAACTTGCTGCGGTCAGACCGTTTAGAAACGTCGAAAACTCCTGAAAGTGTCAAACCCGTTTGATCGTATTTGATCTACTACAGTAGTGCGACTGGTTCTCTAGGCTTCGATGGTTCTCTAGTGGAACAGGATCGTGTCCACCGGAGTCAACTGGAGTGCATGCGCCACACGGCTCCACTTGCTCCATTGGCCTAGTAATGACCTACATCCGTTGGGGACTGGAAGAAGAAAAAGAAGGCCTCATCCCAATCCGTCTGTCGCGGCTTTCATTGATAGTTTGATGGATGTTTGCTCTGCTTTCTTCGAAGCTTGAAGAGGACAGAATGCCCAGTGACCCCGAAGCATTCGCAATTTGAAGTGGCGAACTTATCTATTCAACAAGTAAACCAGTAAGCCCCCCACTTGCGTACACTTCCCAACCCTCCTGGTAGAGATTTTCCAGGTGCTTTTCAATGTCCGCATTGAGCTTGGCCACATAGTCCTCGGTCAGCGCTTGGAAATCCCCAGTGTGGAGATCCCAAGCTAAGAAGTTTACTGCTCTATTCCAACGTGGTGTCAGACTGGATATCGGACCCCCTCCCCTGCCGAAAGCAGTATTGAAAGCAATTGAGGTTTGAAGGTGTAGTTGGACCAATGTTCTTGATGAATTGCGATTGTATTTGGAGCTGAGCTTGGATGCAGCCATGTGGCGCTGACAAAGAACCGAGCCAAATTTATGAAGACAGAAAACAAAAAAAACAAAAATCAAACCAACCAAGAAAACAACTGTTTCTAAAGGCCTTGTTAAGGCCTTAGTAAGGCCTCGGTAAGGGCTCTGGCTAGCCAGAGCGAGAATCGACAACGTGCCGTTTCACAAAATGCACGCTGGCCACTTTGCGAAGCATCCAGCCAGAGATCACCAACAATCGAGATCTTAATAAATAGACTGAAGCAGGACCGAGGTCTCAGTACAAGACCGAAAGGAAAACGAGATCTTAGCAAGAGTTCAATGCATGCACTTTTGGATGTTGAGTGCCTAGCGATTAGAAACTGAGATTTGAAGCCTGCTAAGGCCTTAGTAGTGCCTGAACATAGGTTTCAACAGTGGGGCCGGGGTTAAGAGGGGAGGGGGTACAGTGTCCGCTGTTCAATCATCCTGGATATTTTTTGTTTTTGTTGAATTACAAGTTTGCAAAATGTGTTCTACCATGGGGAACAGGATGTCCATACTCCATACCAGGGCGCACGAAGCCCGGAACTGAAGCAACAACTGCATCTGAACAAAATTAGCTGTTGTCGAGCTCTCTTATTCGATCCATCTTGATCTCACAGCAACTCTGAGGATTTGAGCCGTAAAACTCTAAAAGCCTTTTATTTAGAGGGAGAGAGCATGGCAAAGCGAGGCACAGAGCCTATCTGACTACCATCCGGAGAGTTCTCCCAGCCCTGGCGCGCGCCTCGTAGTAGATGCGACTTGAATCAGAGCTATCCTTGTCTTTCGCATACCTGGAGTTCCGTAAGGGAATGCTTCCCCTAGGGGCCAAGTGAGGCAACGGTTGACCAACCCTAGGCGGTAGATTTCTTCACTTCCTTCAATTCAAAACTGGGGCACTCCAAGAAATCGGAAGTTTCTCTTTCTTTGAAGAAGTCACTGGCCTCATGAACGCTCCAATCTGGCTTGGACTTGGCAGAATCTGCCGCAGGTTGCCTGGCCTTACCTCCCTTCGTGGACAACCACTCGTGCATCAAGTTGGAGTCAATGTAGCCATGGCCTTGTGGATCTAGCACCTGAAGCAGCAACCGCCATCGAAATCCACTAAAATCTCAAATCCTGGGTGCAAGCTGAAGTGTTGAGATGAGCTGTTGCTCTGATTAATGTTGAACTAAGAAAGCCTCAAGGGTGTCCAAAGACCCAACCAAAAAGCACACAAAAGAACAAGCTATAGATCGTACATGATCATTGACTTTACTGCTTCAGCCAACGAATCAGTCTACTTCAGCACCCCTTCCTTCCGTCTTCTCTCAGAGTCGCCCGGAAGGCGGCCAAGAGCGTCTCGGAGTCGTCGGGATCGTAGGTGTGATCACTCAAACACCTGACGACGGAGACGGCCCGGGCGGAGCGGTCTTGGTCTTGGATTGCCCAGGTCGTCCCAAGGTCTCAAGGTCGCTGGAGATCCTTTTCAGGTCATGTGAGATTTGCTATTTGCTCCGCCAGTACTGCAAGTGGGTTTTAAATGTGTTAAATCCCCTTTTTGAAAAATGGAGGCATCCCACTTGATCAAGGACCGCATGAAATGCATAGGGTATGGGTCATATGATATGTGGCTTCAGAACCTCTCGCCGATACGATCTTACGGGCAAGGCCTATTTAATATGTACGGTCAAGAGCCAAGGTACCTATCTACCTGGCCATACGACCTCTGAACTCTGAGTGTCGCATTCCCATCGTTTCATGCCTCAGCATCAGTCGTTCAAAGGCTTCGAAGGAAATCATTCCATCTTTCCTCAGGGCATCGTCAGTGCAGCGACCCACATGGTCAAATCAAAATTGAAGCTGTTGAGGATGAATAGCCAACAGCTCACTTGACCCCTTCAAACAAAGGAACAACCTTCGATTGGCTGTTTGTTCATAGAAAAAGCATGCCCAGTGAGTGAGTTCCATCAGACGTCCACCACCCCAGTAGAGGCAGCGACGATGGATCCTCTTCCAGAAGTTCAGGGATGATCGTCTCCTTCAGGTCGGACCTCAAAAAAGGAATCACCGACCCTGAGAGAAGAGAGCGGGTTTGAACAAGAGCCACTCACGGACCCAGGGCTGAGTGGGAAATTGCGCACCACCTAAGTAGCTCAGGCTGATGGGGAAGGCCTCAGTTGGTGAGGCAAGTGGTGCAGGAGTCCTTCCCTGATCCCGCCATTGCACTTGGCACCTGGATTTGCCTAGCCGCCAAACCTATAGCCAACAAAATGCTAGCGCAACATTCAGCTCCCCCATACCTTTTCCAAAGTACCCTGGAGCAGCTACATGGAGTTCCTCCGAAAATGAGGTGAAACCGCTGAAACTACCCTTCCCAAACATATACTACTGTAGCCTTCCAAAACAGGTTGGGGAATGTGACTTCCGGGCAGGAGGTGTTGTAGATTTCGTATCATGTTTCCTTTTAGTGCTTGCTTCACAGAGGGCACTGACACACCCTGTGGGACGAAACATCAAGTTGGTGAAAGTAGGGTCTCGTGTTCAATCCCCAATTCACCATTTTATTAGGTGTCGAAGAAAGAGACGCTGATGGATGGCACTATGGATGGACCCTGCCAAACATACTGTATTCAACCCTGCGTACCCCACTCACAAAGGATGTGGGATCCCCAAATCAGAAGCGGCGTGGGATCCAACCTCACGCCTAAAGAACCCTTGGTGAGCCAGGTCTGCGCCACTCCTGATTGGCTTTTCTTTGACTGAAAGAAATCTACTCGAGAGCTAGATCACGAAAGGAACTCAGAATCCATGCCATACCTGGTCTCAAAATGTCTCAAATCTCCTTTTGTCAATCTAGCGGAAGGTTGCCATGCTGACTTGAGGCCAGGACTCGCTGGGAAACTGACCAAGGTATCGCATCACGACACCCACCTAACAGACGCTCCGGGACGCTCCGGCCGATGGTCTCCAAATGCCTCCAACCTACTAGCGATGGCCTCCAAAGAATTATGTCTTCCAAAAGCGAGGTTCTTGTCAAGAGTCTCCAGTTGCTAAGGAGTTGTTTCTCTAGTTGCTCAGGAGCCGCCTGGAGTTCAGACAAAATCTGATGCTAGGCCGCGATTCGGTTTAGATTGAAAGTAGACAGTTGATCCTGACAATGCCCGAAAAACTTGCCTCATCCTGCTCGATCAACCACTTCCTCAAGCCAGAACCCATTCTCCAAATATTCCCTGAAACAAACCACCATCAAATGAGCCAAACATCGTCCAATCCCACGGTGTGATGCACAAGAAGAAGTGTGATGAGAACAACGGTGCATGGCTTTGGATCTCCCGGTGATCGAAACACTTCGTCTCACATCCCCACCCAACCTGCTGCTCTGCAAAAAGCATTGCTTTTCCCATCATCGACACTGTCGAGCACTTTAGGTGAAAACGTCGAGTTTCCGAACGCAAATATCGTTGGAAAGACGATGTTTCGCTGGAGGAATCCAGACAACAAACTGCAAAACAAAAAGCAAGCCTGCGGCTTCCCCAACCCCGTCAATGTCCGAGCGCCCGTCCATTCAAGCCAAGCAACTGCTGCTTATCGAAACAACTAAATGCATCCTTGATGACCTCCACACCAGAAATGCGTCAGCTTTTGTCACACATCAAGCGAGCAGCTGTTCGGTCCTGGTGTTTTTCCAGTGATCTCACGTGGACATGACAACTTTTAAACATGTTGACTGTCCCGCGCCTTTTGCAGCTTTTTGAGCCGGCTCTGCCCATCCTTCTCTTGTGCGGCCATGCCTGATCAAGAACGGTTCTGGACAACTGCAAAGCCGATGCGTTCACACTTGGCCCCTTCCCATTGGTCTGGTTGCCAGCAGAAAGCACCTCGAACCTCAGATATCTTCGCATTCATATTCTTCTACGTTGCTTATTAAAAGAAGCAAATCTTTCTTTTTCTGTCAGCCGTAGAGCTGCAAGCCGTTTGAAACTTCTTGTGCGCGCATGTTTTGTGGCGCGTTTGGGCTGAGACACTTCGTACGTTCTTCAATCTGCTCCTTAAGGTGCTGATGGAGAAGGCCAAGTTCGACCGTAATTCTGGCCATGTTGCAAATGTCTCTGATGCCCTACAAGGTCGCTGAGGGGACTTTAAGTCTTTGTCCCTGTAGGCATCTGTAGGCTCTCATGATCTCTGCGTTAGCAGGCATCGCTGTCCGTGTCACCTCCTGGAGGTGTCGTCTTCAATTTCTCCACTTCGCTGCCACCTCCAACGTGGACGGGCTCAAAGGAGACATTTCTAAGCCGCGGCAAGTTGTACTTCACTCGGGGTACTTGGGTTTGTGCATAAAGTAGTCAATCACATTGATCTTGGCTATCTCATCACAGTCAAAGGTCACCTTGTTTGCTGGCCTGTCAGTTGCACACTGGCGCCCATGCATTTGCCTGTTTGCGTAGAACATCTCCAGGCGCCCCACCCACACCCATCACCCGAAGCGCAGCATCCTGCGTCACTGTGTCACTGCCGTGGCTGGAGCACTTGGTCTGCAGCTTGGAAGTCACACTCTTTTAAAAGAAACCTGCTCATCTCACCCCCGGTGCAATTCAAGTTCTTGGCGGCAACCGGCGAGCCGGCAGCGCCACATACGCTTACGCGCCCGTATTGAGCACAAGAACTTGAAGAAGCAATTCCATAGTCATTGTCATACCCTAGTTGCCGGCAAGCCAGCTGCGCGAAAAGAAGAAAAGAACTCTGTGCCGGCCACTGACGATGTCCAACTCCGGCAACCCAATATGACCTGCATGACCAGCACGCTCTGCTGCGCAGTGCGCCCCTGCCATCCCAGAGCTTTGGCAGCACGCCGCAGTCAACGTGCCACGCGTTAGCACGAAGCGCCCCCAAACTGCGCACTCCTGGCGCCGCTGGTGGATCGTGAGCCGGCACCGCCACTGGAAAGAACTTGTCTCCTTTTAGCGAACTGGCCTCGTCGCAATCTATGGCCCCAACACGAGACCCAAACACTGCCAAACAAATGTGTCCCTGCTTTAGTTGGCTGTCGGCCGTGATCTCCCATCACATTCCCGTGGCAATCGTTGAGCACCAGCTTGCTGCCTGCAACGCCAACGCAATGTCCGCCAACCTCTTGCAAACGCCCGCTCTCACATTGCTCCTCTCGCCCTGAAAACCCGCTCACAAGCATCAAAGCGTTTGCGCCAGCGAGGGCGGCAGATTTTGCCAACCCGATGGCTGTAGCAGCTACAGGCGCAGAAAACATGATGCTCTCCTCAAAGCTCCTCTAACTGCGCGAAATCTTGCGCCAGCCAGCTGCATGGTACAACCTGGCCCAGCACATGGTTCCTGTGGAAACAGCAAAACACAAATAGACTGCTGCCGGATGAAACTTTCAAGCTGACCCTGCATCAATACCTGTCCAAAGCTGATTTTCCAGCAATGGAAATCAATGTGCTGGAGCAAAAACCTGCCCATATCTTCCCATGCTCCACAGTGAAAGTTTCTTCGGATCCAACTCACGACCTGCCATCCATTCGGCATTGAACAGGTTCCGTCTCCGACCTGCTTCATCCGACCAACCTGACGCAGAAAGCACGAAACTCGTGCAGCGTGAAACCAGGTCAAAACGTGCAGCGTGAAATCAGGTTCGTTGTTGGATGAGAGGTGGCTTGGGCGAGGACTCTGGTCCCCCCCACCTCCGGCGAGGACTCTCCTCAGCTTCTGCACCACATCGAACCCACACGGACTGCGCCACACCGGCGTCGAAGACGTGAGGCGCTTGAGCGACAAATGGCACGAAGAATGACGTGTCCAGAAGACGGGCGTTTCCAGTTCACATGCAAACTCGAGATAAGACATGCGCACTTGAAAAGAATTTGTTCACTTATGAGTCAAAGGGGATTGTGTCCGGTTCATTTTAAGACGCCTCTCTCGCAGCAAACATCCAAGATCAGGTCTGGTCAGGCTGGTCGATTGGTGTGGTTTAAAGTGATCCCTGGATCTCCCAGCCTAGATCTCCAGTCGACCCAGCGCCAGATGTCACGCGCCGGCACGGCTGTTTGACCACTGTCGCTTGAGCCAAAAACGTGTGAGGCGATGAACGACGACTTCTTCGCTTCAGCGCTTTTGACAATTCGCAGACTGGATGCTTTCAATTGGCAAAAAGACCGTCGGCCGTGCGTTCAGCTTCGCAGTCCTTGTCGCCCGCGTCAGTCGATTTCACAGACGCCACCTTGTCTAAGCCCAATTGGAAGTACCTTGGGCTTCGAGAAAATTGAAACAAGCAGCTGGGCGACCTGCTAAGCTGCTCCAATCCCCCTACATGAGTTCACCGAGCTATTTTCACATATGACATATGTTCATGCCGGGAACTGATGATGGATCGCTCAAAAACTGCGACAAGCCCCAAAAGCGCACGATGCGACGCCCAGGATGAGGATCACGATGATGGCCAGTAAATACCTGGTTTGGTTGGAAGGATCAGTCAGTGAGTTCCTTCATGGAATCTCCCACCCCACAACTGGGACCGATGCGGATTGCCAAAACCGGCAGAGATTGGAGTCTCCTCCGGCGCATTGAATGGACGGACTGGATCGGGTGTGGATCGAAGACATGTCCAAACCTATCTATTGAACTCGGGCGTCGTCCGATCATGCCGTCTACCCGAGTGTGTCAAAAGCCTCAGGAAGTCCTTGCCTCATCACCAAGAGATTTGGCCTGGCCACTGGGCCACTTGATGGGTGATTAAATGAGTCGGCGCAGCGTCAAGACTCGAGCAGCGTGAAAAAAGGCCCCTCGAACACGACAACAACAACAAGAGCTCTTCGAAACTGCCGTGCTGTGCAAAAGCTGTTCTTGCTTCAAAAACTCTGCCGTCCTCTCCACTATTTACAGAAGTTAACAAGCGGTGTATTCTGGATTCCAAGTCATCAAAACCCTCTAAGGCGCTCCACCAGGCTATTTAGAAAAGTCTCCTGTGCCCTGGATCCCGCATGTTTGCACCTGCAAAAACATGCGATCCTACGCGGTTGACCCATGGATGTCAGCGACAGCTGCCCGACGCGCGCGCCGCCTCCCCGCCTCCTCCATCAGCTTGCTGCGCATCCCATCTTGGATCCCGCCGGACATCGGGTCACGACGGCGGGGCTCGTCGGACGGAACTCCTCGACACGGAATGAGTTCCGAAAAGCATCTGAAGCGTTTTTGGGTCAGCTATGCTGTTTGATGCTGTTTGTATCAATAAAATTTGGACGAATTTGCGTGAATCGGCAGGGGTTAAACTCCTTCTTGATGGAATATTTGGAACAATGATCACTATCAATGCGTGGACATGCAGCTAGATGGAGCCAATTGTCAACGTTCCTTTTGAAGCAACCCTACCGGTCTCCCACTGGGCCAGGCATCTATAATCTATAGCTTACAAACCAGTCCAATTCCGGGTGTGTGTGCTCCATCAATGTCATTGACGACGGGTTTCTGTTGGAAGGCTCCGGATGATGTACGTCTGTCTCCTTCATCTGCGGCTGCACGCAGCGCCAGCGATCTGGACGAGGTCAACAACTCTTCGAAAACAAAACAGGAAGAGCGAACACGCTTGCCGATGTTCTGGTGGTGTGTTCAACAAATCAACCAAACAAAAAGGCAATGACACCTCAGGCATGACGTGCCCAGACTGCAAGACCGTTTTGCTAGCTGCTAGTACATCTAGTGGTTCCAACATCCAAGCACTTCTTCCAAGCTCTCATGGGCCGCCTCCCTCGCTGTGTTGCTAGGAAAGCCTGCAAGGCCGAGGCAGGCAAGCCATACGGTCTGAAAGATGTTATCGGGCCAAAACTAGAACACTCATGAACACTCCCCAAATGATTCATCATGCAAAGAACACTAATCTTAGAAGTCTTATGAAGTCTTGAGAGGTCTCAAGGACAATTGACCTCAACGTAAAAACGAAAGCAAAAATGAAAGCGTTTCGTCCAGTCCCAACTGTACGGATCCCGTGATAGCTATGGCAGCGATGGCCTGCTGGCGGCCGGCAAGGAGCACTGCAATCAGGAGGCTGAAGCCCCAGACCGCGGAAGCTCTTCTTCGGGCCTTGACCAATGGGCCATGGGTGTTCGGGACCGGCACATCACTGGTGGAGGCGAGTGACACGGGTCTTTGGGATTGTTTGGCTGAACACCCGAGTGAAACAATCGAATCGAATAGGATCAATCAGACCAGAATTACCCCGACGATCTAATCCAGGATGCTACTCGCTGCATGAGATGAGGCACAAGGAAGCATACAGTATGAAGGATTAAAAGGGTCGCTCATCATTGGTGTGATTTGATGAGCCACAGAAACAAAGCAGCAAAGATTCCATGCAGCTGAAAACAGACCACAGTGGTGATCACTGAACGCCTTGCAAAACCAATAGTGGCACATTGCAAACAACCCAAAAAGACATCAAACAACGTTTGATCGGATCGTTCACTGGGTGCGCGGCTGGCATTGAACCTCGCAAAATTGCAAAGCGCATAAAATGAGCGGCCGGCAGGGGAGCAAAGCTTTCATTTTTCTACAAAAAAATCTTTGGCTCAAATCAGCTGACACATGACTCTCAAAAATCTCTCTTTGATGTGTTGAGTCAAATCTGAGTCAAAAATATCTAGGGCCACAAAAGCAATCAGGATTTCCTCCAATCGCCAGCCTCCTCTAGTGGAGACGTTTCAAACGGCTAGCCAGCTTGTCTCTGAAATGCTGCAAGCTCAAGTGCATAAAGAGCTCCAAAGGTTCAACCGCGTAAAGGACTTTGCGCTCCCCAAGGAGGCAGAAGGTGGTCTATCATTTCTGTTTAGGCAATACCGCAATACCCTCAAATAGCAACGAGCTTGTCCTCTATGCATGACAAGGATTCCAAGGTATATTGAAGCGTTTCATATTCAATGATTTCTGTTGTTGGGGTCAAAGCCCAAGCATGATGCAGCCTCTCTCGTTCCTTGGTCTTTGGCCATATATGCTAGGATCTGCCAGATCAATGCCTTGGAGAGTTAGTAATACCACTGCCCCTTAGACTTGACCAACCACAAGTTTCATTGTGCCAGTTGGCCACATGTTCTTTCTGGTTCAGTGTCAGATAGGTCTGTGCGACCGTGTGGAGCCCTAGCCCTGTAAGACATGACAGATAGGTCTGTGGAGCCTCTCCCAGTTGTTCACTCGCATCCTTCGTGCGCATCGTCTCCCGAGAATTGCCCAAGAAGGCCACGCGTTTGTGAAATGCACGCATTTGTGGATCCTCTTCTGGAGGATTCATCTCATCATCTCCTTTCAGGCCCACAGATAACCTTTGATCTCTGACCATCTGACCTGATTTACGCCCATGGTCATGTATATATATTTTTTTTTTTTAATGTGTAATCTCCCTACCCTGTTAAGAAAGCGAAAAGCGATGAAGCTTGGTCCCAGTTCCAGGACTTCGGCCGCCCCCTTTTCTGAGGACAGACACAGCGGCACACGGCGGACAGGTCTACAGGGCTGCACGGACGGGACCTGCCCGCCAACCTGGACGAAGCATCAGACCTGCCACCTAGGTGCGGTGAGAAAGACCGACATCGAGCGCATGGCGCATTTAAAGTGCAGCGACATGTGTTGCTCCCCCGTTCGTTGGACACAGGGTCGGAGCCTCGCAACAAATTCATGATCCAAGGTAACAATAATGTATTGAAGATTCAAATCAAACCGGACTATCATGCCTACTCTGTCCATCCTTGGCCATGTCATCTTCTGGGAACACTGCAATCCACAGCTGGGTGACGGGCTGGTGCTTCATTTCTTTGTGACCTTCGCCAGCTTCAGCAATTCATCCATCGACGCGGCCTGGAACCATACACGCGATGTGATGAAGATGGACATGGACATGTGCACCAACGGAACCCAAAGGCCTCATCTAGTAGTAGTCCTGGCCCTCGCCCTGGCCCTTTTGAATGCTCCCCACTCTAACCGCGCTGCGCTAATGGACATCAGATGTCAAGCAGAAAGAAAGACATGAAGTTGGAAGCCCACAACTTGAACAGACCAGGAACCCCATGCTTGAAACAAATTACACATCAAACCCTCAACGACACAATGAATCAAACTCATGAAACCACAGCCGTCCTTCCATTCACCTTCTCCCTTCGGCGCAACGTAAATAAGGTTCTTCTCCAGCTGGATGGTGGCAGCTCCAAGTTGATACACCTGCTTCCCATTCCGCTGCTGCTTCCTCGGCAACTTCCAACCCAGAGCTTCATCTGCGATATCTGGGTGTGGGTCAACTGAAAACCACTTTGGTCAGTAGAGTCCTTTCTTTATTTTGGGGTGTTCACTAGGACTAAATCGGTTTGGCCCATGACCATACGTTCTGGCCTTCTCTCCCTTCAAACCATTTTGGACCAACTCTTGGAAAAATGAAAGATCAGGCCATCCAAGCGGCTTTGGGAGGAAGATCAGCCCCTCTTCTGCGGCCACCTGTGTGATGTAATCGCTCAAGCTCAAGCTCACTTCTTCCACCGGCAGGTTCCTCGCGGACGTCGGTGGCAGGTTCGCGTGGCTCGGCCGCTGGGGGGCGGCAGGTTCCTCGTCCAGATCGCTGCCGTTGGCCATCATGTGTTTCATGACCTGGAGCTGGACTCAGCTGATGAGCCAACCGAAAAAAGGATGAGAAACCAGGAACTTCTTGGAGCAAAACTTGATGGTTTTGATGAGTTTCCAGAAATGTCTATTGACCTTGTCCGTCCCGGTGGGTTGCCCAGCTTCTTCCACCTGTTCTCCAGTCGATTCTGTCCAAGTAGCGTTGAATCATGATCACCAAAATGTTTAGACTTGGTGAGAATTCTATTGATGCTGTGTTTCTTGGTGGAACATGACTTTCAATGGAATTGGTCCAAGTATAAAGCAACCATGCTTCTTAGAGAAACTATCGAGTCAACAAAAGGATGTTCTTTATCTTCTTTTTCTAGGGATGTGGTTTTTTGCTCTCAAGGTTCTCCTTGCGTAACTCTGTAAATGCCGACCTGACTGAAGTGGAGGACACACCTTTTGATGCCAAGGTTCTTCAAGGCCATGAGCCAAGTGCCGCTGGACCACCAACTGTTCTCTCAGCTCGGGGGGAAACAGCGCCTTCCAGCCCTCGACAGGGATCGTCAATCGACGATGTTGCACTCTTGCGGTTTCTTTGTGTTAATGTAGGTTCCTCCCAAACTAGTACAATCAGTGAAGTTTGGAGGTCATTCTATCCTGTCTGGCTCCAACTTGGTCTTTGATCACGCAAGCACAGTGCTGGGGAACGCCACGCGCGAGGCAATCGGAAGCTGCCCCCTCAAGTGACGACGCGCGTGGCGAGAGAAAACACTTCGTTGGATCTTCAAAAGACGGCAAGCTCTTCCAACTTCCAACCCTCAAGTTTCGCAACCCGTTCCTGGTACCACTGCAAGACTTCAGAGAAGTTGCATCCTTTGGTCCTCAGCCACTGCTTCAGCGCGCTGTGCCACTGTGGGAAAAAGGCCGTCTCAAGGACACGTGCCACGTTCTCCAGAGGAGCCAAGTCCAACCAGGTGAAGAGACTCTTCAGTGCTTTCAGGTCCTCAGGTGCCCCTGTGGGCGACTCCAAGCACACCAGTGTGGGTAGAAAGGCAGCAAATTTGCTGGTAAAAAAGAAAGACACTACATAGACAAACTTCATGCTTTCGGTGGGCCTCGTGTACTGCCATGTACCCATGTACCGCCCAACGCCATGCACCGAATGCTTTCTCAGTTTGTTCCATGGTCCATCAAAGCACCGTCTTTGTTCGCCAGCTCTGGCCTCTCTTGGTCCCTTTGGGAGGCAAAAAACATCTGTATATTTATATTATATATATATATATATATTCAAGATTGTTCAAGCAAATCGTTCAGACTCCATTTCTACTAGAGCGACGTGATGCAGAATATGTCACTGGAGAGGCCTTTACTGGCCTTCAAGTGGTTGGACCCTCAAGCCCCAGTGGCAGCCATGAACCCAAGCTTCATTGATGGACGAAACATTCATTTCAACAACTCACGACAAGCTCCCGATGTTGGTCCTGGCCATCAGGCTTGATGGGCGTATCAAGCAGTGCCTTCTCTAGCCTGGACAAGACCTGGCTGAGTGAAGGAGGGATGGCCAAAAATCACGGGATGGGATACCTCGAGCATTGCGGTCCAAGGACGCAGCTCCGTCTATGACGTCCGTGAACTGGCTATGACCCGAAATCAGGGTTTGGTCAAAAGAAATGTCGTCATGTTAGTGAGCTCTATTTACATCCATTGTATCAAAGAACTCCCAGACTTTCACACTAAAATCAACTCCTGATTCAAACCCCCTTCTCCAGGCCCACCTTCTCCAGGAGGGGCTCCCAGTTCGACGCATCAAAGACTTGCTGCCAAGGCTTCAGGAGCCCATGGGCCTAGGAGCAAAGGACGCTACTAGGGGCTCCTGGCATCGCTACTAGGAACAAAGGACGATACTAGGGGCTCCTGGCCTTACTACTACGAACAAGTAGCTACTAGGAACAAGAAGCCGATGGATCGTTGGAGTCCCACCGCTCCAGGCAGCCGGAGATCTTGAACCTGCACGACAGCACTGGTACGGTGTGGTACGGTGTGTGTGTGTGTGTGTGTGTGCGTGTGGCCTTGTAGGTTGGCTTCTGCAGCATCTGCCTGCTTTAGAGGCTTTTCGCTTGAACTTGGGGCGGCCGCATGTATCCATCTAAAGCAAAAATGGGTGAATGGTCGAGACCCCCCCCGCAGCTGGTGGCACACTCGCTGGAGCTGTGACTATGTGGAGGCACAAGGCGGGATCATTTGGTAATGAACAACCACTGGGGCCACATGTTAAACTCCTCAATAGACTCATCACTTCCTAAGAATGATCTTTCATCAAATCATCACAGGGCCAGGCGCCGCATGTTCCCACGTCTCCCTTCCTTCGGAGCTTCGGAGCTTCGGGGAGCACGCGGGTTCCCGGCCTGATCGGCGTCCAAAGCATCTCCATCTTCCGCCCCAGCACGGGCAACCAGGGATGCCTCGGAACGGGGCCGAGCGCTTCGGCCTGAGTCTCGGTCCTCTCACTGTTCCAAGTCGTCACACACTGGCCATGTGAGGTGCTTAGCTCCCGAACTACAGTTTGACAACATGAACTGCTGCAATGGAGGCAACTTGGTGCCAAATACCGTGGAAGTGATTTCTCTCCAACATACACATGACACCTTGACACCATCTCTTGCCCTGGGATCCAAATTGGACCAACCATTTTGGCTGGGAAGGCTGGTCCTCCACCCTACTATCGATGGCCTCCACCCTACTATCGATGGCCTCCAACGTACTAAGCGCCCTAGTTCCACCAGTTGTGTTTTTTTCTTTCAGCTAGTTCTCAGCTCAGCTGCAGCCACAAATGTGCTGAGACCTTGTCAATCCGTGGGTCCCACACTTCCAGCTCGGAGCGCAGCCGTGGCAGGACCACCTCCGCGATGAGCGCCTCTGCCACGTCCAGATGGAGGGCCTTGCGGGACTCAGCGAGCCACGGAGCTGGTGCCAAACAAGCTAAGATGGGCTAGTGAGCAAACTCACTGGGTTTCTGGAGACACCCCCCCCCAACATAGAAATCCCCCCGATTGCAGTGGTTTCCCACAATCTCACTCAGCTGTCCATCCCAGATTAACCTCTTAACAAGTCTGACCAACATAGTTTTGTACATAAGTCCTTTGTCAGAATACCTCAGCCCCGGGTACAAATGAGAGGCGAGAACCGGGAGGACCGGCCTTCTTGCAAGTCTCCATGAGAGCAATGCAAGGCTCAAAGTCGCGGGGAGACCAGGCCACCAAGGCCTTCCGAAGCTGTGGAATCAACGAGGCATCCAGCAGAGCGCTGAAGCGCTCCTTATCTCCCAGCTGTTGCCACTTGGAAATGGCTTTGAGACCATCCTGGACAGGGTGGAGGTGTCAAGTTTGTCAAGTTGTCTGATTCACCTATCACCAAAGAATGAGGCTGAGGTACAGTAGGCTCAATCGGGTTTGGGTAAAGCACACTGATTCACCTAACCGTCACTGTGTTTCAGCCACTCTTTTCAAATCCCTCCAATGTGTTTCCTCTGGAGCTTTGAAGGGTTGCCACGTAGACAACTCCCTTTTGGCAGTCGGCAGAGCTAAAGCAAAGGCCACATCCATGGCCGAGAGCAAATGGAATTCTTTGGGCCGCGTGCGTTCCAGGCGCTTGAATGAGTCCGCCAGTTCGCTCAGTGTGATGCTGGCTTCATCTTGCTGCTCGCGCAAGGACTCAATCTCCAAGACCAACTCTTTACAGCCTTTCACATCAGATTCACCTCGCCAAGCGCGAGTCCACACAAAGCATGTCAACTGTCAAAATCTCTGTTCACGAAAGGGACGTTTTTGCACACTTGCTGAGGGAAGCTCTTACATGTTTTAACCATGGTGAAAACACATGTATTTTACACATGCAGGGTTCATCAGGGTTCTAAACTTCAAAAACTGTCAAATGATAGAACAAGAAAAGGTGTTGTTCAATGGACAAGTGAGTTCACTGATGTTGTCCGCTGCTTGAAGACGTTCTTGTTCTTTGGCCGCAGCGAGAATGATGTTCTCACAATGGCGCTTCCGCTCTGCAGCAGCCCTCACCTTGTCCTCGTAGCGCGACACCAGCAGGCGAGTGTTGTGCCGGAACTCCTTCAAGCTTCCTGATGCGATGGTCTTCGACCCAAACATTTTATGACTGTTGATCAAAGGGACCACAGTCTTGGGTATATAAGTCTTTGGGGTATGTTGAAACTCTCACTGTGCGGTGGAAAAGTGAAGTTCAGCCAAACTTGCAAGATGAAAAGCAACTTGAAAAAGAAACGGCTCGCTCCTCTACCTGCTAGCAATCACCCAAACCGCCCAAAAGGCCTGTAATTTCAACGACCTGGAAAGAATACATTCTATCCACAGCACTCCGCCTGCTAGCGAGAGCTTTATCAAATTAGCTGCGTTCATGTGCCGTGTTCTCGTCTGCTGTCCACATGCTTTATCTTCCAGTCTGCACACATGCTTTATCTTTATCTTTGTGCGGTCACCTCACCTGTTCACCGAGTGTCTCACGCTGTCCCCCGCGAGGTTGGCGGCCAACTCCGCAAAGGAGGAGGCCACCTTCACCTCGGGGCCTCGCATGTCGACGATGCGCATGGCCGGCACCTCCCCCGACGCCTGGAGGCCGGAAGAATGGGAGGAAGGTGATGATGAAGGAAACGAATTCTGACTCAAACGCACATGTAGTTTTCAGTGAGCAGCTTTCAGAAGCATGTCGTGGCCTTCATCTGGGAAGGTCAAAAACAGTTTGGGAAATTTGCGCAAGTATATTGTCGATCTCTCAGCAGAAAAAGGTCAGGTAGAAACGCGTGACTGAAGGAAAGCAATCGGAAAGCAATCTCACATGCTTACCTCTAGACCAACCAGCCGACGAAATCGTGCCGCAACAGCCAAGTAAAAGAATGATGCCAACCCTCTTCCGTCTATCGACCCTTCTCCAGCCTCTTCTGCCTTCTTGTAGATGGTTTTGGGGCGTTTGGATTTCCCATCACGCTTCCATCCATCACTGATCTTCGGCTCGTCACTCTGCTTGGGCTTGCTGATGGTTCCAAGCAACTCCTCGATGGTGCGGCGGCCACCTTCGTTGCCATAGAGGTCCTCACTGAGGTTGAAACTGATCGAAAAGAAAATACAAAAAAAAACATGAAAAAGGTGCCCTGAGATAGAACCTGGAGCTATGGCTCAGAAAAAGTAACCTCTCTGACAGATTCCATGCAAATCTGAGGGAGGGCACCGCATCATACCGGCATGTCCACTTTTATCCACTATCCAAGCAATAACTTTTAGCCGAATCCAGGTCCTGATCCACCATTTCTCCATCGTCTTGCAATCCCATCTTCGTTTGCCGCTTCTGCACCTCGATGGGGTTGGCAATGCCGTCGTTGTGCCGTCCAAGGCCTCCACCTGTGAAACCCATCTTCTGCAACATGGCAAAGCCCTTACCATAGTTGCTGGACATCTGATGGAAGGAGAGCTTGTTCCGCGCTGGCAGCTTAGGGCCCTCCACGGCCGGCGTGAAGTTGGCACTGGGAAGGCTGGCGTCGAGTACAAAGCGACTATCCACATCTGAGTCTTCATCCTGCTCCTTGTTCTTCTCCTCCTTCGGCGGTGCCTCACTTAGTGTGCAAAGAGAATCAGTCCCCACGAGGTCGCGAAGAAATTGCGAAAGAAAAAAGGAAATGAAGGCCATCTGCTTGGGGACTTGGGCTCTACAAAAGGCCTTGCTTCGACATGATTGCCGGGGCACGGGCACCGATGTGGGCTGCAAAGTCTGTCCCCGCACGAAGCTGATTCCTTTGGTCAGGTCGCCACTGGACTTCTCCTGCCGGGGCTTCCTTCCAGAGCGCTCCCCATCAGCGAAGATCCCGAGGATGTTCCTAAAACAGCCAATGTGGTCTGGGCAAAGAACTAACCAGTCTTCACACTCCACCATGGTCGGGACTACTCACCGTACCATCCATCAACCCTAGCCAGGTGTGGTACCTATCTTGCCCAAGATTCTCATCTGAAGCTCTTCTCTTCGGCATGGCCTCAGACTCGACATACATGAACCCTAACCGACCCAATGAATTCTGCCAGTTTGAAACCAAATCAGCAAGTTGGAAACAATCTCACCTATCATATTTAGACCGGTCAAACCATAGAGATGATGTGCAACTGATTGAAAACCATGCTTGAGCATGTGCATGCATCCCCAGAATTGAAATGTTGTCTGCATCATTGTCGTGTTGTCTCACGATCCATCTCTATGTCAGGGCAGTGTTTAAGATTAAAAATAAAGGTGGTGCTCAACTGCCACACCAAACCCTCAAGAATCCAAAGAATGAACCAAATGGTGGTTGCCCAAGGAATTGAATCTGAAATTGGCGCTGGTCCTTGAGCTACCCAGAGAAGCCCAGCCCAGGCCCATAAGCCACCTAGCCATGGTCGCAAGGCCTACCTTGCAATTCAATGAAATCGGCATTTTCTGTGGATAAACAAGTTGTTCTCCAAAACCTGAGGTTGGGATGGCGTCTTGGCATGGAAAAAGGGCTGCGCGTGGCCTTTAGGCTCATCAAATACAGTTGCCCCCCTTTTTCAACCACCCTATCCCGGTTGCTCACTTGCCGCCCAAAACCGCTGCTGAATGGCGGCTTTGCCCCCGTTAGGTCGGGGGCCACATCGAAGGCACCGCAGGCTAGGCAAGGTGAGACGATTGTCTCATGAACAGTGCTGTGATTTGGATGATAATCTTCTTCCTACAGGTTGATAGTGAGGTTGATCCCTTAGATCATTGAGATGTTCGATGTGACTTGGGGGTGCGGTTGCTAGTTGGAAAATGGGCATCTAATCAACATGTTCTCAGTGTGAATGCACATATCACACACTCAACTTATGTGTATAGTATGTAGATAGATGTATGTATGTATGTATGTGTGTGTATGTATGTATGTATGGTATGTATGTATGTATGTATGTGTGTGTGTATGTGTATGTGTATGTGTATGTGTGTGTATGTATGTATGTGTGTATGTATGTATGTATGTATGTATGTATGTATGTATGTATGTATGTATGTATGTATGTATGTATGTATGTATGTATGTAT